CAAAGAGAAAGGAAACATTGAAATCGCATCATATGACCCCTTTAACATCTGCGTTTCCACTTGATCAGACTGCTGAAAGTTAAAGGAATGGTTCAGCCAAAAATGTGCTCATTCTCAGGCCAAACTGTTGATGCAATGCTACATTTCTACAAATCTGACGAAGAAACAAACTCATCTAGTGAGGTCATGTGACAACAATGTAGTATACTACACTTTGAAATGTTTATCATTGCATACTGTATTCTTTTCCTTATACTTTTTGGTGAAATTACTGTTTGAAGAAGCGTTTTACACTTTTTAACTGTTTGTGAATGGAAAAAGCAGATCTGATACATTTGAGTTTGTTTCTGTTAAACTGTGACGTGTAAAAGTTACTGTAAAAAGATACACAGTAGCAGATTATGCTCTCTTATTGTTATAATAATAATAATCAGATATTTTGGTACTTCATCAGTCTTCTGAAAACTTTCAGAAGACTGGCTTTGAAAACATAAATATATGCACATTTATTTATAGTGTTACAGTTCTCAATTTTTTCATTTTTAATAGTTTTTCCTGTGAAGAGAGAGTTGTCTAAGTTTTATCTTTGCAACCGTATATCTTTTCCATTGTACTTTCTGAAAATATTTTATGAATTAAAGAATCTAATTTAATAAAATCATGCAAAAATACATCATTAAATATTAATATTTTATACAAAAACATTTAACTCGCTGTATGTCTTTCAAGTTTTATCTTTTGAGTTGTTTAGAATTTTTTTATTGTACTTTCTAAAAATATTTTATGAATTAAAGAATTATATCTAATAAAATAATGCAATAATACATCATAATTTATTAATAATATTTCATTCAAAACCCCATTAACTCACAGTGTGTCTTTTACGTTTTATCTTTTAAGCTGCATATTATTTTCATTGTACTTTCTGAAAATATGTTATGAATTAAAGAATAAAATTTAATAAAATAATGCAAAAATACATCATTAAATATTAATATGTTATACAAAAACATTTAACTCGCTGTATGTCTTTCAAGTCTGATCTTTTGAGCTGTCTATCGTTTTCAAAGTACTTCATACAAATATTTTATGAATTAATTATATCTAATAAAATAATGCAATAATATGCAATTATTAATGTTTCATAGAAAAAATAACTCAGTCTTTCAAGATTTATCTTTTGAATTGTTTACAATTTTTTATTGTACTTTCTAAAAATATTTTATGAATTAAAGAATTAAATCTAATTAAATAATGCAATAATACGTCATAATTTATGAATATTTCATACAAAAACCCTTTAACTCGCTGTTTATCTTTTGAGCTGTATATTATTTTCATTGTACTTTCTGAAAATATTGTATGAATTAAAGAATCAAATTTAATAAAATAATGCAAAAAATACATCATTATTAAATATTAATATTTTATGCAAAAACATTTAACAGTCTTTCGAGTTTTATCTTTTGAGTTGTTTAGAATTTTTTATTGTACTTTCTAAAAATATTTTATGAATTAAAGAATTAAATCTAATAAAATAATGCAATAATACGTCATAATTTATGAATATTTCATACAAAAACCCTTTAACTCACTGTTTATCTTTTGAGCTGTATATTATTTTCATTGTACTTTCTGAAAATATGTTATGAATTAAAGAATCTAATTTAATAAAGTAATGCAAAAATACATAATTAAATATTAATATTTTATGCAAAAACATTTAACTCACTGTATGTCTTTCAAGTTTTATCTTTTGAGTTGTTTAGAATTTTTTATTGTACTTTCTAAAAATATTTTATGAATTAAATAATTAAATCTAATAAAATAATGCAATAATACGTCATACTTTATTATTAATATTTCATACGAGAACCCTTTAACTCACTGTTTATCTTTTGAGCTGTATATTATTTTCATTGTACTTTCTGAAAATATGTTATGAATTAAAGAATCTAATTTAATAAAGTAATGCAAAAATACATAATTAAATATTAATATTTTATGCAAAAACATTTAACTCACTGTATGTCTTTCAAGTTTTATCTTTTGAGTTGTTTAGAATTTTTTATTGTACTTTCTAAAAATATTTTATGAATTAAATAATTAAATCTAATAAAATAATGCAATAATACGTCATACTTTATTATTAATATTTCATACGAGAACCCTTTAACTCACTGTTTATCTTTTGAGCTGTATATTATTTTCACTGTACTTTCTGAAAATATTTAATTTTTAATATTTTTTATTGTACTTTCTACAAATATTTTATGAATTAAAGAATTAAATCTAATAAAGTAATACATCATCATTTATTAATAATATTTCATACGAGAACCCTTTAACTCACTGTTTATCTTTTGAGCTGTATATTATTTTCACCGTACATTCTGAAAATATTTTATGAATTAAATCTTATAAAATAATGCAATAAAAATACTTCATTTTTTAATAACAATATTTTTTTATTATTATAACATACCCTCATTTTTATGTGCTGAACTGGAGCAGCGGATGAACATTAATATCTGTAACAGAGATGCAGTGTTTATTTTACAAGGACAATATTCATGTTTCAATACAACAGCAAAAAAAACCTCACCATTCTTGTAGATAAAAACTAACATTAATAAATAACAACACAACAGAAATGATTCCCACAAACCTAGTGTTGGATGAAACAGTCACTATCATACAGCAGATTAGTATTCTGGATTATTTGTTCTATTTTGACCCTTTTGCATTTAATAAATGAATATAATAATATAGCCTCCTCTGCACATCTCACATCAAATACAGCAGCTTTCAAAAACACCTCATTTTCATCCCACCTGTTTAACAGTTGATCAGCACGGCTTAAAGTAATGCATGTCAAATATAAATATGATAAAAACAGCAGTAAAAAACACTGGTATATCTTCACGCCGTCCGCTTTTGGCCACGGTTTACTGCGTTTACTAACAGATCGGACAGTGGAGTCTAGTTGAACATGATGGATTCGGGATCCTGGTTCATCATTTGTGCCATGTGTCTCAGAACATCCTTCTTAGTAATGATTCCCAGCAAACGTCTGACGTAAGACAGAGAGAAGACGCTTTAGTCGTCAGTAGTTTAACCAAACCTCATGCTTTAGAAGGGGATTTGATCTCATCCGTTTGCCTGATCTGACCCGTTAAAATAAAGTCTGGTCCACATTTTATATCTAAAACCAGACTATATTTTAACGTCTGCATCCAATTAAATGTACAAAAGTGATTTGATATACATAGAAAGCATATTAAATGCAAGTAAAGTCATTCAGTGTAACAGAGATATTTATGTTAATCGCCACATCACATAATTAATTTGTTTAAAATTTTTAATTGACTCAGCCCTAATTTTAAGCAATTAAAACTTGCTGACGAATGGGTAAAACTTAGTGGTTTGAAGAACAGTGGAAACGATTTAAAATTACAACTTATTATTATTTTGTTACTGCACCATTTTCCTTAAATAGAGTCTTTTAATGCCATCTAATGATTCTTGATTTTTTTTTTTTTGGTATATGAACTGTTACACTGAATGACATTTTTCTGTAAGTCATAGTAATAGTCATTTTCTTTTATTAAATAAATTAAAAAGGACACATTCTAATGTATTTATATATGAAGTACATACACTATCGTTCAAAAGTTTGGGGGTAAGAATTTTTAATGTTTCTGAAAAGTCTCTTGTGTTCAGCAAAGCTGCATTTATTTGATCGAAAATACAGTAAAAATTGTGAAATATTTTTAGAATTTAAATCAGCTGTTTTCTATGTGAATATCTGTTAAAATGTAATTTATTTCTGTGATGCGCAGCTGTATTTTCAGCATCATTACTCCAGGCTTCAGTGTCACATGATCTTCAGAAATCAGTATAATATGCTGATTTGCTGCTCAAGAAACATTTCTGATTATTATCAATGTTGAAAACAGTCGTGCTGCACGATATTTTTGTGGAAACCTTGATATATTTAATTTTTCAGGATTCACAGATGAATAGAAAGTTGAAAAGAACTTGTATTTTTTTACAGCATTTATTAACCTTTGTTAATGTTAGTTAATAAAAACGTTCACGTTCATGTTAGTTCACAGTGCATCAACTAATGTTAACAGATACAACTTTAGATTTTAATAATGCATTGACATGAACTCAAATTAATAAATGCTGTATAAGTATTGTTCATGTTAATATAGTGAACTAACATTAACAAATTAAGCCTTCTAGTAAAGTGTTACCAAAAAACCCCAACTTTCAAACAGTAGTGCATAAATTAAATTCATAAATATATAATATATAAAATTAAATCTCTAAAAAAACATTGTCAAAGTAAGTAGCTAGTTCTCTGAAACACTGGAAATGATAAACATAACGCTGGTCAGTTCTGTGCTCAGTAGCCCCGCCCACAGTGAGATCTCATTGGCCAAGCCTCGCATATATTAAACTCAAACTTATAAAACAGATAGTTCCGGTGCTTGATTCTGATTGGCTGAGCCGTGTTCGAAGCTGTTGTAAACTACTCTATAAAGTAACATACACCTTTGTTTACGTTTGTGTGCTGCTCGGCAACCACTTTGTAGCAACCACAACTGTTTCTGAGGAGCTACATTGTTTGGTGGAAGAATACTGTTTTTATTAATATCATTACACTTTATTTGCTCCGTTTTATTTTGTGAAACCTTACTACGTATATGGAGTAACCGTTTTATAAAAGCAATAAGCCCCGTGAAGCCTACAGTGAATTTATAACAGCTAACAGTTATAAATTCACTGTAAACCACGGCTTCTTGGGGCTTATTGCTTTATCGAATCCTAACATGTGCAGTTTTGAGCATCATTATCAGCTTCTCACCCGCTGCGTGTGACCAGACACTGGCGCAGGCCCAGCTTGCGGAAGATGTCCACCACCGTCTCCATGGGCGTGTGGTCAGTGACGGTGAAGGGACTGAGGTTCAGGATGCGTCTGAGTTTCAGCGGCTGCGGGTTCGACGCGGGAATCTGCGGAGCGTCTTCGGTGAAATGCACCACAGAGTTACTGACGACCCCGTCCTGCTTCTGACGCGCGCTCTCTGAGAAACACACAGAACATCATACATGTTTGCAATGACGTTAATGTATGACGTACAAGCAAGCAACAAGGTTTTTTTTTTAATTCTTGCATCATTAAATTCGTTTTCATACTCGTGAGAAGCAAAAAATGCAGTTAGAGTTGTTTGAAACTGTAAATGAATCATTAAATAAATATTCAATTACAGTAATTAAACCAAAAAATACAGTAAAAACAACACTGTGAAATATTATTATAATTTTAATAATTAATTGTATTTTCCTTATATATATATGTAATTACAATAGTAATTGTATTAAGCATAATAGTAATATATTTCATGTAATAATTAATAAATGCAGCCTTGGTGAGCAGAAGAGACTCGCAACATAAAAATAAAAATTAATGCACAGTAGTGCATATAAATAGTTAAATGAACACATAAACTGCGATTTTATTAATAACACTTATTTTTTACTGTATTTTACTTCTTGCATTAACATTTTGAATGGAACTTAGTACTATATACAGTATATACTATTATAGTATTTATTCATATTTTTTCATATTTTCAATTAGCTTTTATTTTATATCTTCAGTTTTCATTTTAAATTTAGTAATTTTATTGTGTTTCAGTTATTTCTTTTTTAATAATTGTTTAATTTATTTTTATTTCAGTTTTAGTAATTTTAGTACTTCAACTTAAAACTTATTTTATTTCAGCTTTTTATTTAATATTTATATTTTATTTTATTTCAGCTTTATTTCAATTACAGAAAAATATTTTAATAGTTTTAGCTGTAGTTCTTTTTAACAACTGTTGGCAGGGAGCTTTTATTTTATATTTTCTGTTTAGTTTATATTATTCCTTTTAATTTTATTTTAAGTTTAGTCATCTTGTTATATGCTTCTTTTTATTTCTATTTAGTGGTAATTTATTTTATTTCAGTTTTAGTAATTTTAGTACTTAAACATTTTATTTCAGTTTAGTTTAAGTTTAGTAATTTTGTTATGTGCTTCTGACTTGTTAGGTTTTGTTTTATAAATAATTCTAATTCAAAATTTTTTTTCAGTTTTAGTTACAGTAACTGTAGTTCTTCAACGTAAGCTTTTTTTCAGTTCAGAAATGTTTCTTGAGCAGCAAATCAGCATATTAGAATGATTTCTGAAGATCATGTGACACTGAAGACTGGAGTAATGATGCTGAAAATTCAGCTGCGCATCACAGAAATAAATTATATTTTAACACATATTCACATAGAAACAGTTATTTTAAATTAAAAAAATATTTCACAATTTTTACTCTATCACATTTATATATATTCTTTTTTTCCCAAATTTTAAACTTTACGTAAAAATTATTTTATTAGTTCAAATGCAGCCTTGGTGAGCAGAAGAGACTTCCTTCAAAAACAAAACAAAAAAATTAAATGCATTAAGTGTTTTGAATGTAGTTGACTACAACGACTGTTTGAAATGACACAAATATACACCGATACAAATTGAATATTGTCAAAAGGCTACAAAACAATCATAAATGGCATGTAAACAGATGCAGCCAAGCGCTTTCAAATTTTAGCTCTGAGACCTTTCGGAAATGTTCATATTAAATTTGCTTAGTTAAAGGGATGGTTCACCCAAAAATGAAAATGTGATGTTTATCTGCTTATTTGCGAATCGTCACGAGCCGCAGGGTTTAATTTGGTTTTGTTTGTGTATGTTTTTTTGACTCTCAAAGCCGTGGAGCCCAT